TTCTAGTGAAACCCGGTTTGTATATATTTCGTGCTTTTGAATCAAAGTGATTTTTCAAACATTTATAATTTTAGGTTTAGGTAGATGCTTTTTTATATTTATATAAAATTATGTAACTTATCTATAATATTATTAGAAATAATTTGAAAAATCATGAGAGTTTCAAATGTTTGTTGTGAAAGGAAAATGATTCATTTATCGGTCCAAATTGATCAAGCTCCGGTTCAACTCAATATACCCAACTACATAATATTTTTTTTCTAACTGAAACATGATTTAAACCTGAAAAATTTCGGTTCAAAACCATTTTTGGAATTCTAAAAGTTAACTGGACACTTGTCAATATAGACAATCTCACCAAATAATACCTTCAAAATCCTACAAAGGTAGGCATGAGGAAGTTCTCATGGTTTGGTCCATTTGAAACATTTCACAACCTTTCTTATTTATAGAAGAGGAAACATTCTCTTGTTTACTCTCACCATCGATGTGGATGAAGACATTATAATAAAACACCATTTCTTGTTTATAGAACATTATTTAACTTATTTATAATATTATTGTAAAGAAATTGAAAAGTCATATGAGTTTCAAATGATTGTGGTGAAAGGAAGTTAAAAAAGGGGGTTTCAAATGCATGAGATTTAAGAAAAAATGCTAGCTTTATAAGTATGTACGATAAATGTTTATGTAGTTATTTATATATCATTGTTGTGCTTGTTAAGGTATGGAGTCACAATTTCACAGAGATAGGGTCCAGGAAAAAATAAAACGAAGTGGAATGAGATGGAAGACAAGAAACTTGTTGAAGCTATGGTTGATATACTTAATTCAGGTTCTCACTTTAAATCTGACAATGATGTTAAGCCTGGGTTTTTTGGTGTGGTGGAAACCCCACTTGCAGTCTCACTTCCAAACTCGGGAATAAAAGCAAAGCCACATATGGAATCACGCATTAAAAATTTGAAGAGCGATTGGTCTGATGTGCATGATATGATGACATGGAACAACACAAGTGGTTTTGGATGAGATTATGAAAATAAATTGCTTGAAGCTCCTCAATCTATTTGGCAAGCTTACGTACAGGTGATGTTTTTAACTGAATGATCAAAAATTATTTTTAAGTACTTTTTAGCATAATTATTATTTATATATATTTGGATTTCTTTTATAGGTAAATAAGAATGCAGATACAAAAAATCTCCTCATTAGTAGGACCTATGTCTTGTATTTGGAAAGGATCGTGCTAATGGAAGAGATGCTCAAACAACAGTGAATGTTATATCTGAGATAAATAACAAACAACAGGAGCTTGACGATTTCATGCAAGGTACTGGAGATGGATTAGAGGATATAGATGTTGGTGCTCCAGTGAATACTCTTACATATGCCCCTTCTAAAGAAGATTCAAGTGCACAATGAAAGAGAAAAATAAAAAATCGTTGGGATCCTTTGATGAACAGCTTGAAAGATTCGCCAAATATGATTGGTTCAAAGATTGATAATGCAAGAAGTACCTTCAACACAGGTTTTGGAATCGAGAGAGAAAGAGAAGACCTATGTAAAAAAGTTTATTTTGAGATGAAAAATGTTGTTGGTTTAACCATCTGTGACTGTAACAAGGCTGTGCGTATGCTTTTAAAGAATGATGAGCCGATGATAATCTTCTTTACGGTTGAGGACGAAGACAAATTTGGATGGATAAAGAACTTGCTTGAAAATGAGTATTGACCATTTTTTTTTGTTAAGGTTGGTTTGACCTTGATATGTTTTTATGACAGAGTTTTTTATTATAAATAAAATTTTATATTTCTATAAACCATTTATGTTTATGTGAGTTTTTGTTATTAGTTATAGAAACTATAATTTTTTTAGAATTTGTTGAATTCAATGGTCTTTGTGCTGGAGTGGTATTTTTGTCGTTGTAAATTATTTTCATTCCATTCCTTTTTTTTTTTTGACATACCAAACAATATGGAAAACAACATGGATGAATGATACATTTCATTCCTTGAGAGTAATCAAACAAACATGACAATATTAAATCATTTCGTTAAACCATTTTTTTTGAACGGCAAATAAATATATATCTTTTATGCCTGATATTGAACCCAAGACCTCCTAGTTAATAGTTAGATTAAACCATTTAATTGTCGGATAGTGGCCGCAACCGAAGATCTTTTTCTCAAAAGTTTAAACCAGACATTAGAAGTTGTTATAAAATTTTTACAGTTTCCATGTTTTATTAGAAGATAATAACTTAAAAAACAACATTTAACTAAAAGTCGGTATTTTAATAGTGAAGAAGCACAAATAAAGATGATTACCAAGAAGCAAAAATAAAGAAAAACTGTACAAGACACGTACTCCATGTCCACTTTTTCTTCCTTTTTCTCTTTTTATAATTCGTTTCATAATAACATCACAAAATACGAGTCAGGACTACGTGTGCACTTTCTTACCAACTGTCTATCTTTCAAGTCTTTTCACATAAACGTCCCTCAGCTTCTCATTAATAAACTTTTATCCCCAAGTATTCTCACTTTATTTTTCAAGGACTTCATGCTATTATTTTCTCCATTAAGGATAATTTGATTAGAAATGTCCAAATATGAGTATTAAACTTATAAATGTATATTATCACAATTAAAAGTAAGCATTAAGATCGTAAATTTGATCATGCAATTAAAACTAGTCGTGACCTGAAATGGATCTTATCAAGCCCATATGCTCAGTTCCAAATATCATAAATCAGATTTAATTGAAATGAACTTTGTATATCTTTTTCTTACTTAGATACAAAATACTTTTCTAAAATTGTCATGATTGTAATTGGCCTAACTAAATGCATTTTTCTGAAAATTTTGTTTCAATTTTCGTAAAAATTGAATTTTTGTGTGTAACACCCAGGGGCGGAGCTAAAATTTTAGGATAAAGGGGGCTTGAGTTTGTAAAATTGAAAGAGATATGATAAAGAAAAAAAAATTGTCTAATATTCTCCCTAACAAAATATGGTTGTCGGTCATTACTGTCTTCTTTGTTTGAAAAAAGAATCTATAGTTTTTTTTCTCATGGTTTACCCTATGATTATAAGAATTAATAAACCAATTGACCAATCATAATACTATCATTAATTACAAATTATATTGCTAAAAAAATATTAACTAGAAATTACAAAAAAGAACATAAATAGAGTATGTATTAACTAATAAAAGGGAAAATTACCTTTTGAGAGTTCATGTCGATCAATTTAAATAGGTAATTGTGATGAATAATTAAATACTATATTTGCAGTACTTCCTTTACTTTGCCGATGATTTGTAAATCGCAAGCAAGATTCGTCGTCTGCCGATTGATAATTGTTGCAACTAATATATTTGTTATTTGTAATCGTGCAACACAATATCAAATAAATTGGGCTAGCTAAAGGGTGGCCAGTGGGCTTGAAATTCATTTTTATTATGGACTTAAAACAATATATGTTTATAATTAATACTTATTTATATCAAATAAGAGAAGTTGGAGGGGCAGCACACCTGCTAGACCCCGTATTGGCTCCGCCTCTGGTAACACCAAACCAATTCTTGAATCTATGAATTTATTCAAAAAACTCCGGTCAAATAAGTTTACTAAAGTTAAATAAGCTATTGCGAAAGTTGGTCAGTAGTTTTTCACTTACTAAATTTACAAACTCTTTTGATAGAATTTTTTGGTAAATCAAATATATTTTAATTCTTTTAGATTATTCAATGTTATTAAATAGATTTTGTATGACCCATATTTGTATAGAGTAAAAAAGAGTGATAATATGGAGTCATATACAACCCTACTTTTCTTACATAAAAATATATATTTCATGTTAACTCTTTTAGTTTTTCACAAATACATCTTCAGTTTACTAGTGTTTTATGAATTTGTCTAAAATACTTTTGCTATAATAACTTTAAAAATTTATAATATTAAATAAAAATAGTCAAACAAATATTTCGTAGGAAAATAATTCAAATTGATATTGATATTATTAAAAGAAAACACTATATTAAATAAAAACATTCATGGCAAATTAAAATAAATATACATATATCGTTTACATATTATGTATATAGTTGAAATATAAAATATATATTAAAAAAATCACATTCAAACGTCAGAACAATTATTACACATATATAAAAAGCTAGTAAAGTATTAAAATTTTAAATGTGTTTGTAACAATTAATAATATAAAGTTAAATAAGCTTAAAATTGAAACAAATTAAATAAATCGTATATAAATAAACTCAAACTTCAAATGAGTCAAATATGACAAGTAAAACTTAAATGTTATTTATAACGTAAATAAATAGTATTATTCTAAATTTGGACTATTACTCTAAATTTAAAATAATAATATTCTTAACTCTACCTTTTTTTTTTGTTGTAGAAAATAGAGTTTAGTTAGGAAAAATTAACTTTGGTTCTTATACTAAAATAGAGTAACTTAATAAATAAAGTTGTATTTAAAATGCACTAATATATTAACACCTTTGCTTTTTAAGTTGACGCTATCTAACAAAAAAAATCATTAATAAAAAGGTTTTCTAACTCTTAGTACCGAATATGCTCATCCTAGTAAGAGACCTACATAATGTATATGAATATGAAAAGAAAAAAACTATTTTAGTTTAGGTGCTCAATATTTAAATTGATAATGTAAGCACTAGCATTTAAACAAGGGCACTAGATAAGGGGTCTAATGGTAAATACACGATTTCTTCTCCCAATTGGCAATTGGCATGCCTAATTTCTAATCCTGACCGTCCATTTTTATTCAAGTCAATCTCATTGTTCTCTACTTTACAAAAATCATCCAACAAATCGTCAAAAAAGTCATTATTATGAAACTCTCCGGAAACTCCCATGAACACCAGTGGAAACACAACCTTCACAGCTATATAAATAAAACGCAAGACCACCTACTAAAACACCACGATTCATTCACAAATATCGAAAAGTACACAATGGAAAACGGAAAAAGATCATCGGCGTCGACAAAAAGCTGCAAGAAACACCCAAAACACCAACAATCTCCGGGTGTTTGCTCGTTATGTTTAAGAGAAAGATTATCGAAGATATCAAGCACTTCATCACGTGCAGTGACGAACGTTTCTTCATCATCTTCTTCATCGTCTATCTCTTCTGTATCTTCGGTTTCTTCATCGCGTGTATCATCCAATGGCGCCTCTTACACGGCATCTCCCATGCATAATTTTCAGAATCAACGTAAAACTTATGATGTTGAAAGAAAGGGATATCTTTCGTTCTTGAGAAAGAGCAGATCAATGGCTTTTGTTAGTGAAAATATTGTAGAAATTGATGGGAAACAGAAGAAAAGCAATGGCTTTTGGTCAAAGTTGATCGGCTCGAAGAGAAGTGATGCACAGAAGCGATCAATGGAAGAGGGTTCATCTTCAAGACTCATGCATTCAAAAACCATGAGAGAAATGTTGACCACAAGCGTTTGACTTTTTTGTATTTTTATTTTTATTTTTTCCCGGATAGAAGAAAACCCTTTTTTTTGGGTTATATCATTCGTTGGTTTATTGTATAGATGAAATGTGGTATACTTCAAAAAAAGGTGCAAGTCAAAATTGTACAACAAAAAAAGAAAATAAAACCTTCTTTTCAATATTTTATTTTTCATATACACATTGTGTATCAAAAGAAACACAATACATCCAAAATGTACAACACTAATTTTTACGTAAAGAAACGCAATATTTATCCAAATTCATATAATTTATTCGCTATAAATAAACAAATATATTGATGTTATGGATGGAAATTTTGACTAAATTTTATACATGATTTAGAGTAACATGCTAGCCGGATCTTAACCAACATCTTGATTGAGATTTTAGATATTACTAACCCTTATGTTTGCTCTCTTATTTATTCTTTTGATCGAGGTCCTGAATATATCAATAAAGACCCGGTCAAAGGGGAATTATTATAGGAAACGTGCAAAAGAGACTTGGTCTTCTAGAATTCCGAAAGAAAGAAGACCTGATGATCAAGAATCCCAGAGCAGAAGATTATACCGAGATTTTACTAATCCGACTTATAGAGGTTAGTGTCTCTATGTATAAATAAGCAGTCATAGTCACAAAACACATATAAACACTCTTTTCAACTTGTATTATGTAACTACAATCACTTATTAATTGTACTCATTTGACTTGATTAATAAAATCATAAAGGCAGCTCGAATATTTCCGGCTCCTGAGGTTTTGTGTCAATTATTTAACTTTAGATCAAAGGCTTTCCTTGTAATTCTTGTGTCTTACACCTCAAAATCTTGGTTAAGATTCTGAATACAACACCATAACATTTACTGATTTGGTTAATTTTTGCTTTGCATATTTTTGACCAAAATAATTTGGCGCCATCTGTAGAACCATGGTGTTACATTTCCCTCAAAACCTGATCTATCGTATCATCTCTCGAAGCCATGTCAACCACCCTCGTTACGTCTGCAACCTCTATGTCGTTGCAACTCTCCGAAATGCATCATGCATCTTTTCCATTGACTACGAGTTCTCAGACCTAGGTTCAAAAATCCATCTCAAGATCGTCATTCCCTTCCACTGGGAATGATGCCCGACATCCTGATAAAGGAGCTCCTCAAACAACTCCTTTTTTTATTCCAATGATGAGTTTTTTTTCCTCTAAGCCAACCAACGGAGCATATGAGGAGAGAGTACGAGAAAAAATAAAAATTTGCAAAGAGAGATGGACAATTAAGGGCCAAAGTGAGGAATCCTGCAAGGAATCATTTGGCATCCGACACGCCAATAATCACTTCTTTGGCCCCAAGAAACCTGAACTTTGATATGTGAGGATCTTCGTGGAATCTTAACGAATTATTTATTCAAATGGCGAGTGCTATAACAACTGATCATATCACTCCTACCACTTGATTCAAGGCTCCAACACACTTGGACGAAATCTTTACAACTCCTAACTCGAATGTTGGTATTTTTAATAATAATGGTATTTCTTCTAATACTAACAAAAATGCATGCACGATCCCTTTAGTGGAACGAGAGATCAGATAAGTAAGATAGATGATTTCCACCGTGCCTAGAGTGGTTCTTCTGGTACCTGAAGTGTCCCATGAAAGGCACCGAATGTCAAGATTCACGCCTAACATCAATGATGTGGAAATCCCCAAAATATTCTAGACGTGAAATATGAAGCTGTATGACGGGTCTAAGGATCATGAGGAGCATGCCACCTATTACTGAGAAAGAATAAAGGTCATTCCCATCCCAATGGAGCTTAAGGAAGCCTGATTGTGCAAGGGATTTAGATTAACACTTATCGGCCCATCCTTTAAATGGATCTTAAATGTTCCTCCATATTCTATTTCATCTTTTTTGCATCTTGTTAATCTATTTAATAACCGGTTTTCTTGAAGCAGATCCTTTGAAAAACTTACTAGTGTTCTTTACAGGATTTCATAAAAATTTGACGAATTTTTAAGATATTATCTTAGCATAAGGAGGCATTGAACATTCCTCATATCGAAGTGGCAACTGTTGTGGAGACCTTCAAAATAGGTTTGAAGAAGGATTCCCCGTTTTATGAGGATCTCGTCATGACGTCATGTAGGAAACTCAATGAAGTCAGGAATAGTGCCTTAAGATTCATAAGGCTAGAAGAGGACAAGTAGATGCAAAAGATCAGTCGTCCAAATACCTATGAGAATCCTAATAGGAAGTCTGAAGCGTCTTCGCAAATATTCCAAACACTAGAGGTGCACACAAAAACCGGATCCTCGAAATGAAACTGACCCGATCCGAAAACAGGTTTCGGTCAAAACCGGTTTTGACCAAACCGAATCGGATTAAACCGGTGACCGGATTCAAACCAGTTTGACTTTTTGGACTCGAAATCGGATTTACCCCCGTATCACAAACCGGATTCTACAAAAACCGATTCTGAAACCGTCGAAAAATCTGGTAAAAGCTAACAAAATTCGGATCAAACAGGTTTCAAATCGGATTCGGATTGTTGACCAGATTCGAATCGGATTTTGACTGGGTCCGGATCGGATTTGACTGGATCGGATTGTTGACCGGATCGGATTTGACTGTATCGGGTTATTGACCGGATCGGATCAGATCGGATCCTAGGTTTGTGCATCTCTACCAAACACCAAGACCCTACAACAAGCTAGAAAAACCATAGAGTCAATGCACTAGGAGATGGAGAAGCTGATAAGAATATTCTAAGATTCATGATTATTCTTTTTCCATTGATACCACATGACTAACCTTTGTCATGCAGGATTTAGGTGAAAAAGCATGATGGTCAAAGAAGAACGAAAAAAGTTAATACTTAGAAAGACCTATCCAAATGGTATCATACCACGAAGATTTCGGCCACAATACTGAAGATTACATCACCCTTGGAAAAGAAATAAGCTACCTAATCAACAAGGGCCACTTGAAAGAACTCTTAGGAAGAAACAATCGCAAATCCAAGGATCCAAACCAAGATCTTGCCAAGATCCGTAGAAAGCAGTGTCACCTCTATGAGATGCCAAGGTCATAATCCTCATTTCAGGAGGGTCAAACATTTGTACTACAAAATACTTAGCAGTGAAGAGACATGAAAAGGTGTCAAAAATGGGAAAAAAAAGAGGGCCCAAGAAGCAACGTAGTCATCACAGAAAAAGGTGAAGTCACATTCTATGAAGATGAAAGAGAAAACGTATTGGATCTTCACCATGATGGATTAGTACTGAACCTATACATTGTAAACCACTATATCCAAAGAATCTTGGTAGATGGAGGCAGATTCGTCAATATATTCCTCCGAGAAACTTTTCAAAAGATGAACATTCCAAAGTCAGAAATCTTACCGAAATCCTCAATACTGGTCAGATTCAACAAAGAAATAAAGAACATTATAGGCTAGATTAAATTTGCCATATACGTAAGTGGAGTAAGCTCAGTGCAACATTTCCGTGTCATGGACTCGCTATCATGTTACTGTTGGAATAAGGTGTCTAAGATCATAACTAAATTGGTATATACTTTTAATTAAAAGTAGAGTCCCTTTTAGGTTACCCTCATAACGAGAAATAACAAGAAATGATATTAGGAGAGAAAGAAGAGGAATACGACACTTCGTTCTGATCTCATAGTCTACCTCTGAATGAAACCTAATTAATAGCCAACTTATTGGGAACTAAACACCTTTTACAAGTCTTATTATAACTAACCCAGACCTATACTAAAGGAAACTTTTTGTCCCATATAGTTCTTAATAGGCAGTACTATCATAGTTATATAAATAAATCATAATACAGATAATACACGTAACAAATAATTTTTCCTAAGTAATGAATACTTTTATTAAGTTATGTACTTGATATCAACTACACACTCAACTGAAAAAAGTAGATGACTCGAGGTTAGGGCAGTGCTTCGCCTTAACACTTCTCAAAGACCTAGATGTATAAAGCACTACGTCTTAGTCTAGTTTCATAATCCTTATGACTGTATAATGATAGTGTATATTCCTCAATAATCCCAATGTCTACATCAACATCTCTCAAGTAAGGAATAATTAGGTATAATCATATCGGAGGTAGGGTCAGTTTGGTATACAGAGTATACTGTTTGGAAATCCCACTGTAAACGCCTCACTAAATCCAGCCTATCCATCACTCTCGTAAGTAGATCAATTAGTATAACGACACTGGAATCACTAATAAATCTTAATTATAGGTTCATAATAATGAATACAACTATAATTATAAGTTACACTTAAGGCGGAGTAAGTATAGCTTAACTTACAGAGTATTTTGATGAAAACTGGGAATTATGTGGGCATAACTCTGACCCGAGAGCTTCTATACTGGCTATCTGACACCATAGGGTCTCACTAAAGTTTCCGAGAACTAGGGAGTAAAAGGGACGAGGGGTACAAAGAAATTCCCAAAGAGAATTGACAAAATGGGGTGAAGATTATACAGAAACGTAGAGGTTTATATATGGGAAATCAACGGGCACGCCGCGCGCAAGGCAGGTGTGTGTCGTACACTCAGTTGGAAGAGGGTGGCTTGGCATCTTCTGAGTGGTGACTCATGGTGAGGCTCGGGTGGTTCGTTAGGGCACGGTGCGCAAGTGGTCGGCGTGCACAGCTGCGCACCGGAACGTCTGATTTCCAAAAAAAATCATAACTTCCGTACGAGCTTCGTTTTTGATATCCTTTATATCCACGCGTAGCTATCAACGAGATCTAAAACTTTCCTTTATACTCTGTCGGCTAATTCTCATTTTATTTTTAAAGCTATGTTTTTAACAGGCTTAGACTGCAAAAATCCGTATAGAAATCATAACTTTCTAATATAATATATGTGCTCGACTGTCTTTATATCGACGGATAGGTATGGAGGAGATCTTCAACTCTTGTTTATATATTTCTTCCTAACAATCGACCGACTTTTATT